TGTCTCAACATACGCCCACACAAAAATCATCACAATGACATAATCCCCAATTATAACTTCAAAAAAGGCAACTGTGATCTTATGGACAATGATCTCTCATCCCTTGATTGGCAATCTCTATTCACTGGATGCAATATTGCTGAAGACCATTACAACATATTTTTACTTGAAGTCAAAAGAGTCATCAAACTATATGTACCAATAACAACTCCCAAAACAAAACAAGAAAAAAAATGGATTACCCATAACAATAAGGAAACTTCAATCCAAAAAGAGGTCACTCTGGGGGAAAAACAAATCTGGTCATGTTGCCAACTTTAAAAGCCGATACAAAAATTTATGCCACCAGATAAAGACCGAATGTACCAATTATCACATTAAACAAGAGGAAAACCTTCTATGCACCAATTCCACCCGCGCTTTTTACAATTTTGTAAACAACAAACTAAAAGACTCAAGGTCCATCCCACCCCTGATAGGGCCTAATGGTAAAGACTATAATGATGACGCCATTAAAGCCAACCTCTTTAACACATTCTTTGGCTTAGTATTTGTAAACAGCAATGGATCATGCCCAGTATTTCCTAGCCAAACCACAGAAAACTACAATGATCTAATACATATCGATTTTACAGAAGACAATGTTGAAAAAGCACTACGCAATCTAAAACCATCTCTATCTATTGGAACAGACGGAATATTTGCCTACTTCTTAAAAAAGCTATCCACTGCCATAGCAGAATCTCTAAGCATAATCTTTGAAAAATCTTTCAGGACCAGCTCCTTGCCTAACCTATGGTCACAAGCCACGGTCATCCCCATCTTCAAAAAGGGAGACCCCAGCCTAGTTGAAAATTACAGACCAATCTCCTTATGCTGCGTCACCTGTAAAATCATGGAATCAATTATTAACCAATCCATTATCCTCCACTTAGAGACAAACAACCTACTCTCCAATAAACAATTTGGTTTCAGAAAAATACTATCCTGTAATCTGCAACTGTTACACTGCAAAAACATATGGACTACACAACTCGATCAGGGCAAAGCAATAGATGTAATCTATATAGCCTTCTGTAAAGCCTTTGATTCAGTGGTACATGACAAACTACTCCTAAAATTAAAATCTTATGGTATCTCTGGACAACTGCATAACTGGATAGAAGCATTCCTGTCAAACAGACAATAAATGGTCACAATTGGGAGTGTCTCTTCGCTGATGATGTAAAGCTGTTCAATACCACAGACAATACTGCTACCCTTCAAAAAGATCTTGACTATGTATCAGAATGGTCAAACAAATGGCAACTTCAAATCTCAACAAATAAATGCTCTGGCTTACATATTGGCAAATAAAATAATAAAATAAAATAAAATAAAATAAAATAAAATAAAATAAAATAAAATAAAATAAAATAAAATAAAATAAAATAAAATAAAATAATAAAATAAAATAAAATAAAATAAAATAAAATAAAATAAAATAAAATAAAATAAATAAAATAAAATAAAATAAAATAATAAAATAAAATAAAATAAAATAAAATAAAATAAAATAAAATAAAATAAAATAAATAAAATACAAGCTGAATAGTCAAGACCTTGTTGATGATCCAAGCTCTGTAAAGGACCTTGCAATACTCATCTCTAATGATCTAAGTGCTAGAGCCCACTGTAACTACATAGCCAAAGAGGCATTAAAAGTTGTTAACCTAATCCTATGTAGCTTTTTCTCTGGTAATATCACACTACTAACTAGAGCATATAAAACATTTGCTAGACCAGTATTCGAATACAGCTCATCAGTCTGGAACCCACATTACGTATCTGATATTAGCACAGTTGAGAAAGTCCAGAAATATTTCACAAGAAGAGTTCTCCACTCCTCTACTCATCTTCGGTCTGATCTAAGTATGGTATATAAAATCATACATTGCAATGACTTCAGCTTCAACCATAACAACACAAGAGCACACAATAGATATAAATTCAAGGTTAACTGCACCAAACTTGATTGCCGGAAATACGACTTCAGCAATAGAGTGGTCAATGACTGTGTGGTTTCTTTTCCCAAACCCCCAAAACTTTAACCTTAGACTGTCTACTATTGGCCTCACCCCTTTCCTAAGAGGTCTGTAGGGGGTGTGCATAAGTGCACCAAGGTGCCTACCGTCCCTGTCCTATTGTTTCTTTTATTTTTCTTCTATGTACCCATTTTATGTATTTATAACTATGTATATACTTATACCTATTATCTTGTAAGCGATTGACAAATCAAATCAATCAAATAAATAAATAAGTAAACATTTTTGAAGTTAATCATTAAAGTAAGGAAGATGATAAATCAGAAAAAAAAGCCTCAGTTGAAACTTTCTATCGGTAGAATTAATAATAGCCAATATATATGAAGGGTGCCAGTTCTCTCATCATTATTACTAACATTGCTTACACCTAAGAATCCGGAGTGTGACAGTAGTGTTACAATCTTCAAAAAAAGGAGATAAACCATGCCAGCAAATTACAGCCCTATAAACTTCTTAAATATAATTAGAAAATGCAAAGCTTTTAAACAGGAAATTGTATAAACTCATGGACCAAAAGCATACCTTGGAGACAAGTAGGTTTTGGGGGCAAGAGATTTACAATAGACCGCTGCCTAATTCTGCAGCCTTTAGCAGATAAATATTCATATGGCACAAAATCTTCATTGCATGTAGTTTATATAGATTTTAAAGGGCTACAAATTAAATTGGACCTCGTAACAAAAGATCCCCCAACCTCCAAAAGACTCACAGAGATTCACACTTGCAAATAATTATGTTTTCTCACATAACTATTTATGTGAGGTTATTTATGTGAGATATGGATAGAAAAGAGTTTTCTATCTAATTAGATGCTTTTTTAAAATTAGATTTAGAAGCTGCCTGACTTAAGTGAATCACTGCAATTGTTAAAATAGTGATACGGTTGTTCAATAAATCTGGCTTCCACATTGACTTTGTTAGTCAGAAAGTTGCAAAAAGTGATCACATGATCCCAGGACACCGCAAAGGTCATGAATATGAACCAGTTGCCAAGCATCTGAATTTTGATCATGTGACTGCGGGGCTGCTGCAACCATTGTAAGTGTGAAAAAAGGTCACAAGTCATTTTTTTTCATTGCCATAAGTTCAAACCATCACTTAATGAACTGTTGTAAATTGAGAACTACCTGTAGTAGTCCAAAGACTATTTTAATCTCACTTTCTCTTTAAAAATACCGTGGAAATGCTCAAGTATTGCTCACTTCTACTGGAGGAATGAATCAGCTTCACTGGGTTGGTCAAGTATTGAACAAGGAGAGATTTAACCTGGAAATAAGGAGAAACTTTCAGACAGTGAGAACAATCAACCAATGGAACAGAAGTTGTCCTCGGAAGTTGTGGGAGCGCCATCACTTGAGACTTTCAAGAAGAGATTGGACTGCCATTTGTCAGAAATGGTGCAGAATCTCCTGCTTGGGTGGGGGAGGGGGTTGGACTAGATGACCTACAAGGTCCCTTCCAACTTCCTTAATCTAAACAAGTACCGCAGACCGGAAGAAAAAGCTTCACACACGTGTTCTCCCAGTTGAACAGGGAAACCAGTTCAACAGATGACTCTATTATCCCTCTGAGTGAGACGAGGTCCAATCCCACTGGGAGAAAGCTTCAGTTCTTCTGACCTGACTTGGCTCGGGAGTCTTTCTTTCATTCATTCATTCAGTTTCGGTAAAACGCGGCGACGTTTTTTCCAGCGGTCATAGTTGGTTGTTTGGAGGGAACCGCCGAGGACATCTTCTTTCCTGAAGTCCGGCTAGTCTCCCCACCCCCGGGGCACCCAGTCCAAAAGGGAAACTCACAAGGATGCTACTGTAGCCCTATTACAACACTCCCTCCGCTCCTTCTCTTTCTCCACGACTAGCACCGCGTTCACTTTCGGTTCCACCCTTCAACTTTTCATCTTCCGTCCTGTCCCGGCTCCCCCCACCCCATCCCACCCTTCTTAGACTGCGGCTCTTCGGCCGAGCGCCATTCAGCTGCCAGCGGCTTGCCTGACAGACAGCTCAGCGCTGCTGGATCCTGGGGTCGCGGGCGTCTCAGTCGCGGAGTTTCCCCGTTTCGCCGACCCAGACGGACGCACGTCCAACTCTCCGAAGCGCAAGACGTCCCGAAGACCGGGGTTGACGGCAGACACGCATCTCAGAACCGGTACCGCGGAGTTATTCTGCACCTTCCCCTCTCTTCGTCCCTCGCTTGCTCCACCTTCGAGTGTTTTCACAATCGTCCGACGGAGAAGGGGACTCCAGGTGGCTTTTTCCTCTTTTCGCCAAGTTTCCAAACTGCCTTCAGACTAGTATGTCTCCTGAAGCCTCGTCACGTTCTTGATTTGATTTGATTTGGTTTGATTTGTCAATCGCTGACAAGATAATAGGTAAAAGTATAAACATGAGTAACAATACAGGAAATAGGTAGGAATAAATGAGGTCAATAGGACAGGGACGGTAGGCACGGTGGTGCACTTATGCAGGTCCCTTACAGACTCTTAGGAATGGGGTGAGGTCAATAGTGGATAGTTTTCCCCTGGCAAAACTCGTTTCTGTATCCACCACCCACGCCCAGGTTTAAGCCATCACTTGAGGCTTTCAATAAGAGATTGGACTGCCATTTGTCAGAAATGGTGTAGGGTTTCCTGCTTGGGCAGGGGGTTGGACTAGATGACCTACAAGGTACCTTCCAACTCTGATTATCTGTTTAATTCCCTGGTCTGCTAAAGTCTAAAGTCCCTCTGCTGTCGACACCCCCATTTTCCTTTGCTCTTCCTCCAGGCATTCCCTCTCCCTATGATTTCCTTTTGAGAAATTCCTCACTTCCATCCTGCACCCACTCAGGTAAACTGTTCCTCTCCCTACCGGCCTTACCGAACACTCCCCTTTCATAGATCCATTTCTCTTGTCTCCTCCAAGGCTCAACACTGACAAGATGAAAGAAGTGGGTAATCGAGTCAACTCTACAGACAACTCCACTGTGGATATTGATGTCCTGTGCCCAGTTAATAAAGATTTCACTGAATGGTTCCTGCCCGCTTTCTACCTCATTCTCTCCCTCGTGGGCCTTTTGGGGAATACACTGGGCTTGTGGACCTTATGCAGAAGTTCATGGAAGAAGAGCTGGAATCCCTTCAATGTGCTATTGTGCAACTTAGCAGTTGCAGACTTGTTTTATGTGATTACACTGCCCTTCTTCGTGTCCTATTATCTCCAGGAACACGTGTGGCTCTTTGGCCAAAGCTGGTGCAAGCTTACTCGACTTTTCTTCCATGTCAACCTTTATGCCAGCATTGGCTTTCTGACCTGCATCAGTGTCCATCGTTACCTGCACATTGTACATCCAATGAAAATGATTGGAAGATGTCAGACCCTTGGCTCTTCTGTCTTTCTGAGTCTTTTGGTCTGGCTCTGGGTCACGATTCAACTTTCACCTGATTTAACTTTTAACAAAATGGGTCCCAAGCCTGAGAAGTGCCATGACTCAACAGAGCACAAAAACCTGGAGTCTTATATGTTGTACTTTCAAATTTTAACAGTGACTGGCTTTGCTATTCCTTTCTTCATTGTCACTGGGTGCTATTGCCATGTGGTCATTGTCCTCAGGAGGAACAAAAACATGGATCCTAACCTCAAGCAGAAGAGCATCAAATTGGTGATTATGGTAATGACACTTTTCTATGTGTGTTTCCTCCCGTATCATGTCTTTAGGAACCTTAACTTGTTGTCTCGAAGATGGCAACATCAGAGAATTTGCAACCAGACTTTAAAGAATATTTATATCTTCTACCAAGTGACTCGAGTCTTGGCTAGCCTAAATAGTGCCCTGAACCCTTTGTTATACCTGCTGGCCCGTGAGGATTTAGGGGTGCAGTTGAGGAAATTTGGTAGAAGCATTAGACTGCGTCTGAAGACTTCTTTCCAGGGCAAAGGCCAACACCGTTTGGAATTAAGTCAATCAAATATGATGCTTGATAAAGAATGTGAAGAGATACTATCCAGTGATGTCTGAATGATTGTTTTGATTTAAAGGAACTTATCATAAATGCCTACCATCTGAATGCTGCTCCCTCTTTTCCAACGTTTCTATCATTTGATGGATTCAGGTATTAATGTTTTTAATAATTTGAAAATTGGGTTTGGAGCACAATTTAGAAGCGCTATGCAAACCTGCAGAAGATGTGGAGTGAGAATGAATAGATTTTCATGGAACAGGCTATGAAAGATGAACAATGACATTTATGGGCCTGTGGTTTTATTATTTGCCTGAATTAATCTTTAACTTGGATGCATAGCCCTGCCCTTATTACTTTATTATACATGTATTTTCAGTGAGAGGTCATCTGAAGAGATTGGAATATTTAAAAGTTGTTGGATTGAAAACATCATATACATTATGTATAATAGTACTCCTTTTTCTCTCTCTATGTGTATGGTAAGACTCAAACCAGAAGATTTATTCAGCTGCCATTAATGTATATCTATATAGCTATAGCTATTGCTACCTAGCTGGCTAGTTAGCATTTCCAATGAAATGTCTGTTTTTCCTTACTGGGGGCAGGTAGCCAGTATAATCTGCAAAACTTTTTAAAAACTGTTTTAGGCTGGGAGAGATGAACTTTGGTATCTGATGGCTTGTATAAAATTGTATAAAATGGCTTATATGAAAAGCTAGAAATGTATGGATGTGTTTTTGAAAGGCTACATTATGGTATATTGCACAAAATCACAACACATAAATACCTTTTAATATAGATCACATACACACATCCATTTATATATGGATAAGTGACTATACTAATAGTAGCTTGGGTATTTGGAGGAACAAATTTCTGCATATATCACTTTCACTCTTTAACCACAGGTATTGCAACATATACTGTATTATCTTGTTCCATGATTAATAGTTTAATCCCATCTTGAACTGTATATCAAGGTGGGGATGGGGGAAAATGTAAACTACAAAACTGTAACAGAATAGTTTGTTATCTTTAGAAAAATTCTAAAATGAATTTGCTTGAGATAGATATAGGTAGGTAGGTAGGAAGATAAATAGATACACAGACAGACAGGAAGAGAAAGAAAGAAAGAAAGAAAGAAAGAAAGAAAGAAAGAAAGAAAGAAAGAAAGAAAGAAAGAAAGAAAGAAAGAAAGAAAGAAAG